CTCAACAAAATACCAGGCATTGTTTCTGCGTGCTAGTGCTGTGTTGATGTCTACTCTAGTAAGTATTATATATTAAGGGAGTAATAGTTTTTAAAAGGATATTTCATTGCGGCTTACGTCTAACTTATACAGGGACTTTAAAGGTCGACCCGTGGTTTTACAAAATGTGCAAGTGATGTCAGTAGTTTTTCTCGTTGTTAATCAACCCACGCCTCCAGACAGGCTATCATTGTACATACAAGAGTTTCGCTTACATCAGGAAGACCTAAAGAGTTTTTTTTCAGAAAGTGAATCAACCCACGCCTCCATACCCACTAGGTTATCACCCAATTGGTTCAATTTACTAGCTTAATGCGATCGACGATGCATCGAGTTACCTACATAAACCACGGTCTGTGAATAAACCTGCCATTTTAGCGTTGAAAACAAAGGATGCACTTCGTAACGCTCATTGTCTTTATACTTAATATCTCCACTGTGGGTAAGTCCACCTAGTTTACTCTTATATATTTGGTCACCGAATATTAAAAATCAAATTATTAAAATGCATAACGGAGCCTTATTATGCTGTTCTAGAGCTTAGTCAAGCAAACAACCTGACCATATACAGGGAACCTGGGAGAAATCTTCGAAACGAAGATGTGACTGTTGACGTCGTTTTAGAGGTAAGTCAACACTTGAACGAAGCAGATCATCCGTGCTAGCTTACCTTTGAAATATCAAGTGTTCTCTTGGTTTTTAACGTTTTGTTAAAGTAAATTTTGCTATATGCTGTGTACGAACCGATTCCTCTCCCAAATTAAACGTTAATAAATATTTCTCGTTTTCAGACAGTTGTCAAGGGCTGTTATGTAAGCGAAAGAGTTTGCGGTCAGATCATAGGTAACGTGAACAAACATTTTTTTTACAAAATTCGCAAAATTGTTATTTAGGGCACACCACAAACTTTACAATCCCCAAAAACACAAGCATCCCAAAAAACTATTCGCATATAATTGTAGCTGATGACATAGTCAAGGCAGGTACTATTTCAATAAATGGTAAGCATAAATTAATGCAAAATGAAACGCACTTCATCATTTAATTTTAAAGGGACGGCCGAGCTGTTTGAGCCGAAAATAATCGGTGACATTGCAGTTGATGATAATAATGTGGTAACACTCAATGGGCATTTTACGGCACCATTCCTCGTCAAGGTGAGTTCAAACACATCCTGCCAGATTACAAAATGCTCACATTCCTCGTCACGCATACATCTTTGTATATTTTGTCTGCAGAAATCCGACCCCCCGGTCAACTATACGATAGATAAACGTGAATAGAGTACAAAACTGTTTTTTTCTGAAAAAATGTTCAGCGAATACCTCTGATTATTTTTGAAACCGTGTTTCGTTCGTTTCGTGAATTTTAGAGCAAACTTTAATTATGTTAAATGGACCAATGGGAAATGAGACAGTCATCATCGAATTTGCCGGATATATCAATGGAACTGGACACAACTTTACCCTATTCATCGCTCCTACGACAGAAACTTCCTCTACAACTGGACTTTCGTCTACAACTGGAACTTCGTCTACAACTGGAACTTCGTCTACAACTGGACCTTCGTCTACAAACGGAGCTCACTCTACAACAGGAACATCGTCTGCTCCTTTAAAGCAGCTATGCTCAATTACCTTCGCGTTGGGGTTAACAACGTTTTTG